CAGACCTTACTACACAATTAATAACTCAGGAGTGCGTATCCCAACTATGACCTGGGTCTGGGCAGAAATTATCATACCAATGCGATGACATGAATAGAATGTCAATTTAACCACCAATTATCACTCAGTAGTTATTGTTTATATCGTGGTAATTAATCATGTATGGTAGAATTCGCAAAATTGAGGCACTTTAGTACAGCTAGCTACTGCCACCTCATTTAAGATCTTCGAAAATCAAATGGCCGACTACCTAATTTTACTGTCATTCATGTTGCTAGCAAAAAATTTTGGAATAATAAGTGCTTTGGTGATCGCTTCGAGGACAGAGTCTGAATTTGCCTCCGCTGGGACAATCCGACGATGTGATGTGTGTCACATTGTTCATTCGTTCGTGCTCATTGCCAACACCGGTGACGGGCACCCTTATAGTTGTTCACGGTGCACACTTGAGCAACTACCCACACTCCCTTTTACGAAATGCCAAAACCATGCCATGGTTTGAGAATTCATTCAGAACTTCCTTTTCTCATTGCATTTCGCTAACCACGGTCGATAGTGTATCTAGTCTCCGTTTGTAGGCTGATGTAAGCTAGGGTTACTGTCCTTAGGGAATATAACTGAATATATGCATATGATTTGCTCTTCGATAAGATAGATTGCTCGATTTGATCAGTTTTGACGAATGGGTCAAGAGGCCGGGGCATTTACTCTTTCAGGCATGGCAGGGTAGGGCCCGATCGGATCTTACAGTAACAATCGACTGAGTCCTCTCCATGGGACATTATAGGTCTGCCGGACAACAATTAGCCAGAGGGGGTAATCCGCGGGTTTGAGTAGGGACGCGGCGTCGAGCCCATGGGGGAAGGAGGGAACGCACGCAGCACTCGGCACCAGGGAAGGAGGGTGACACACGCAGCATCGGGCCCAAAGGGAGGATGGGGAACGCACGCAGCGTCGGGCCCAAGGGGGGAGGGGGAACGCACGCAGCGTCGGGCCCCAAATGAACGCACTCACAGATGTAGTATCAATTCTTTATCGCAAGAACTTGAAGCAGAGGGGAATCAGCGGAGACCGGCAGCAGCGGAGGAAGCGGGAACTATAGCATCGTGGAACTCTTCGGTGTTGTAGATCGGGTCCAGCTCGAGGAGAACATGGTCCGTGGAGATCATTCCCTAAAAGGGTCTGTAAGTGAGAAACGAACCATGAATAAGTCTGGAAAACGGTACATTGAAAGGTGAAAGCAAGCGGAATGGGCGCTTAGGGATCGAAAGTCTGGAATCCAGACATTGGATGTTTGGCCGTGTAGATGACTGCTTTGTGCGTCCGCAGGATACCGGCGGAAAGTTGCTTCTTTCGGGAAGACCAATCATTGTTGTAATTACGTTACGTCACGGATTAATAGAGAATATTACATTCTTTACATATCCCATTACATTTTTTTTTGTTGTCATGAATATTGGTAAACGTCTAACTTTAAGGCATATCCAGGTGTTCCTATGCGTTCCTGATCAAAGCGACCGGCTTAGCAGATTACCGACTATTGCCGACTGTCGCTGGATCTCGCTCGGTCCCATCACATGATCTCCTTAACTAAGTAGTCAAATTCAAGCAATGTCAATCTCCAGGCAAGACCAACTGTGTAACATAACATACACATGCAGGCACGGCTTCCTTTTCTGGCAATGCGCGCCCGTGGACTTAAGCTGTAGAGGCCACTTCACTCAGTTAAGCTTTTTGGCCTCAATTTCGCATGTAAATTAAATTGAATAAGTCAAAATAAATTCACTTAAACTCGGAACTTAAGTTCTCTTAAAGAAATAAAAGGAAAAACCGGGGGCCAAGTTGCATTTTTTTCCTTTTCCCCCACCCCCTCAGTTTGCACAGATCATAAGTTATTTACCTCAGAAATTTTTGGAAAGCATCTGAAAATCGTTGAGAGCCTCGACTGCAGGAAATGGTTGAGAAATAATCGAAAAATTCGTCGAAAAAATGTTTCAAAATACTTGCTCTCTCCGCAATTTAAACCTCCATATTGTAAATAATAACTGACCAACACATACATTGAACTAACCGAATACAGAAGACTAGACTACTATACTAATGACACTTTTGCCAACCCTTGATATTGATGCGTTCATGTATCAACTTTTAGGCCTCTGGGCACGCAAAGAATAGGTACGCGTAGGTACGCGCGGGTGCCTACTGTGTGCACCGGTATGTTATGCTACATAGTTGGTATATACTCGTCAATCTCCCACCGAGCCCACCATGCCCCGAATCTATCGCTCAACCAATCCTTACATCCCAATCCCAGAACGTTCAATTTTCACGCAAGTCTTCTCGAATAATTATGATTCTAGCTTGCCTGCATATATTGATGCACCCACGGGATTCACACTGACACGAGGGGATGTGCGTAAGTTGAGTTTGGAATTTGGTTGGGGATTGAGGAATATCTTGGGTCAAAGGCGAGGAGATATCATGGCCATATTCTCCCCTAACTCAGTCCAATGGCCCATTGCGCTCTTGGGAGGTATTGCAGCAGGAATGCGGATAACGACTGTAAATAGCTCTTATACGCCTCCTGAGTTGTTGCATCAGCTTCAGGTGAGTCTATATTTTGATTTCCCGTTCCTCGGAGACTGATTATTTCTCAGGACAGTGGCGCATACTATGTCTTCACTCATCCAGCATTGGTTGGCAATGCGCACGCCATACTGAAGCTAATGAAAGTGAGCGATGCTGAAATCAGAAAGCGTATCATTTTGGTCGGCCCTGCTACGTTAATGGCAGATCCCAAACTTAAAGGGCTGAAGCGATATGATGAACTCCTGGGAAAGGGCCAATTGCAAAAGGTGGAGAATTTCGATGGCTCCCTCTCACATGAGACCGTCATGATTTGCTACTCTTCTGGTACTACCTCCAAGTCGAAGGGCGTCGAAGTGAGTGACCTATAGTGGCTATAATTCTCATTCGGATCTTACATCTATTTCTTAGCTTACGCATAAGAACGTTAACAGCGTTATTGTCATGGTTGAGCCCCGATTTAACATGAATTTAAGACCGAATCATTCTGACTGCATGCTTAGCGTTTTACCATTCGTACGTAATTTATTTAATTTTAATTTTAATTTTTCGATATTGAAATATATACATTAGTTCCACATTTATGGTCTCACTACGCTCGTCTTACTTCCTTTCTTCCTTGGAGCCCCTCAAGTTGTTATGTCCCAATTCAATCCTGAAGACTTCTGCGCATATGTCCAGAAATATAAGATCACTTGTGCCCTAATCGTTCCTCCTATCCTGATCGTTCTTGCAAATCATCCTGGTAAGCCAACTGCTTTACGCTTTCCCGGGCTATCTAACATCGGGGGGAAATAGCTCCTGAGAATTATGATATGAGAAGCCTCAGAATCCTTTTCTCCGGTGCAGCGCCTCTAGGTGAAGGCTTAACATCTAAAGTCGATGCCCGTTTAAAGAAATTGGGCGTCGATTGCAACTTTCCTCAAGGTGGGTGTTATTTCCGCAGGCACTCTGAATATTTTATCTGATTTTAAGATCCGATACTCAGGATGGGGCTTAACGGAGACCAGCCCAACATGTATCATGCAAGATACCTACGATTGGATAGATAAGCCCGGTACGATCGGTACTCTTGTCTCCAATGTACAAGCACGGCTTGTATTGGACGATGAGACTGATGCTCCTGAGGGTGAACCTGGCGAAATTTGGATCAAGGGTCCGAATGTCATGAAAGTGTGTTGTGTGCTCTGCCACTTTTTGCCATAGCTGAATTTGTTGATAAATTGGTTCTAGGGTTATTTGAACAATCCGGAAGCTACACGGGACGCTATCACTCCCGATGGCTGGTTCAAGACTGGCGATGTCGCGATCGTTGACAAAGATAATTTCTTTCAAATAGTTGACAGGAAGAAGGAATTGATTAAATATAAGGTATATTTTAATTTATACATTGGGAGTAAATTTTGATATTAACAACCGTGTCGACATTCTAGGGATTCCAAGGTTAGTGGTATCGCACAAACAAATATAAACAGCGACAAAATTGTTTCCACAGTGCCTCCCGCCGACCTGGAAGCCGTGCTTCTCACTCACCCTGATGTCCTCGATGCTGGTGTCATTGGTGTTCATTCGGAGGTTGAAGCAACAGAGTTACCGAGGTACGTACTCACATTCTAGGTCGAATTGAACCTCGGAGTGCTTAATAAATTATGTTACTTCAGAGCATATGTTGTTCCCCGCGGAGGCGTCGCTGCATTTAAGACGGTAGCAGAGAAAGACGCTTTCTCTCATGCCATCCAATCCTGGATTCAGACGAGAGTGGCCAAGCATAAATATTTGCGTGGTGGTATGTTCCTATATTCTTCTTGATGCGAACAAGCGTGCTAATAAATTAATTAGGCGTTGTGCTAATTGACACGATTCCTAAAAGGTAATACCTTCGCACTGCCACTTCCTTGTACGAGGTAGATTGTTGACTTTTTTATCACTAGTGCGGCTGGGAAGATTCTCAGGAAGGATTTGAGAGAGTTGGCCAAGAGGGAACACCACGTCAGCGGGGCGGCCAAGGCTAAGTTATAGAGTTTGTTATTTCGGGATGTTGGAAACACACGGAGCATGTACTTATTGACTACAATGATTTCTTCACATATTAGAAGCTATATCTTCAAAAAGAAATTAGTACTTGACCGTTGGGGGGTTTACTGTGGTACTCAATCACAAGAAATCCAATGATGCCTGGGCCCAGGAATCTGGTTTCGATCAAAGCCCTCAGTGCGGCGCTGCACCGAACCCATTATTGATAACCAAGTGCGACTGTCCACGAATGAAGATAATGAAAGCCATGCGTCTGAATAATTGGTTCTGCTCTAATTCTGGCTCATTAAAAAAACAAATGGAATCGCAGAGACTTAGACTCGCCTAAGTTGGCCGAAAGCCCCGCTGCAATACTCTACACGTAACTCCGTTATGAACGAGTCTGGGTAGCTCAGCTGGAAGAGCGTCAGACTGTAATGGATACCGCCAGCTGAATGTTGCTGGTTCGATCCCGGCTCTGGAGAGTTTCTTTTTTCCCCTATGCTGATGAATCCTAAACGAGTCGACAGAGAGATTCTGCGTTACCAAGGTTAGTGTGATTCAAACCAGCTACCAATTCCTTTCGTTTATGAACAATACCTGGCAACCTGAAAGGGGATGCTTATGCCGTTGACTCATTTATTGCGTTAACCAATACGGTATGAATTGAGCTTCTGATTCAAAAGCAATATATCTGAGCATAGCAGCTTTTCCTAAATTAGGTCTTCAGGTATGGATATTGAATTTGCCAGTCGCCCTTAACGGAAGATGGATTGGCTATTGGTGAGTAAAACATCTGTCAACAAATTAGGTTACAATGTCTCCAACATCATTGAATATCATATATGGCTCATGAGAAAGAGCTCCCTGAAAATTAGCGTTATGTATAGAGCCAAGAGTACGCTCTCTTACATCCCATCACGAAACCTGACAAAGTCTAGGTAGCGCTATGTAGTCTATATACCTGCATAGCGTTTTTAGCGAATCCGCCATTGCCTACTAGCCCTAGCACGCTTAGCGACGACCTTGCCGACATATCAATATTGCCGAGAATGGCTAGCTAGTGCTATCTAGCTTGCATAGCCTGCGTAGTGCTTGTATGAATTATTTCCGAATTCTGAATCTTATTTACTGGAGAAATAGTTATGTGTCGAGTAAGAGATCTATTAGACTAAATACCACAATGTACTATACATTAAGCCTCTACTACACTAGCATTATCAAAGTTGGTCTCTATAGTAATGAAGCAGGAGACAAGGAGAACATCGCTCCTCCAATAGTATACCATAGATATAATCATAAAAATGTCTAAATGGCTTGGTGCTATCTTGATTGAGGCACTGGCGAAAAGAATAGTTAATTGAGAACCGAACATGCAACGTGAAACAATGCACCTAAACAAATTCCGGCACTCCTTGGGGAATAGAAAGGTTCGAGATCGGAAAAGAATTCCATAGGACACATGCGCAAGCAGTTCAGAAACGTTACAGAGAGAACTGAGTACAGAGCTAGACCAGAGATATATAGAGCAGCAGCGAAGAATCGAGTTCTGAGTCGGATGGGTGAGTCGGATGGATAATGTGGTGATTCTGAAAGATCTTGCACCAGTAGGGATATATTCATGAGTGACACCAATTATAATTCGACATAAGAATGAAAAGCAATAGCAGATGGGGTTCTATAAAGCAGTCATCAGTGTTTGCGATGTTGAAGATGGTGGTTCGAGGCAGAAGGATGAAGACGGTAAGAACAGCACGTGACTTGTTCAAACCTCCCAAGTTTAGCAAGTATTGAATTTCTACATGGTGTACAAGCTAACACCGCAAATATTAGACTGGAAAGAGCGAGATAGAGCTTTCAGATGATACTTAGGACATTGACCGGGACCTATGTGAGTTTCTGTGTAGTATCTAGCCTGCTACAACTCTTGACTCGACGTTGACTGAACTTGACTTACAAAACTAGTGTTTTCTTAGCGACTCCTAGCGGCTCCTAGTGGCTCATAGCGGCTCATATGCTATCTAGACTAGGAGAGCAATTCGATGTGCTAGGTAGCGTTTTAGACGCCCATGTCAGCTTTCCTGATGCCCGTATCAACAACGCGGATTTTATCCAGACTTTGGTGGTCATGAACTTCCTTACGGCATCTCAAAAAGAATAAATACGAAGCACCCGAAATGTATGCATATTATACATGGATCATATTTCAGATGCTGTTGTGCCGGAATCTGAACACAACATCCTGAGAAAGGAGATATACAGTATATTAAAACGCTCTGAAGTTGCTTCGAAGTTCGAAGAAACAGAGCGTGAGAACATTAGTAAGCCCTATAACGCCATCTTTGTGTATGATGGTGCTCGACAAACTTTCCTTCTTCAATGGGTTGACAACTTGTAACAGGACAAGAATGTATCCAAATATAATAATTTATCAGCGCACGCCTACTACTGTCTTTCTTCGCACGTACTTTAGCATAGCTTGACCCTCCTCATTGCTCCCATCAACTCCCGGCATTGTCGATGCAGTGATCTGCGCAATAGAGAGCAGAACTCAACTCCAGATGTATCTTGGAGCCTCGCAGGGCAGAAACAGCCATAGCTGTTATGAAGATCGACGGCTTGTCCGCATCCGAAGTACCTTATCATGGAGGAACAAAACCAGAACCTAAACATGCACTGCAGCGAGACCCACCCCGCCTTTCCATCAACCACGCCTTTTAAAACGTTTCTGAACACCTTCACTGCGCCAAACCGACTCCTCAGCCACTTCTACCGTCGTCTCTCGTCCTCCGTCACCACTGTCCCTCATTCTTCTACGCACTGATGGATATCCCCAATGCGTACTCGTTTAATCAATTGGAGACGAGGAAACTGAACAAGACGCCGTCGACGAGTATGGACTTTACGTGTGCGGGGCCGAATACGGCATTTGGGGATGTGTTTGACCACGAGCAGATTTTTGGGTATCAACATGCTTCGTCGTCGGCTTCGAGATATGCACAGCGGAGTCCCATGTACCGTCGTTCGATTTCTGCACCTCATCTTCTCATCGACTTTAACAACTCATTCCCTTCTTACCCAATCTTCATACCCGAAGCTAACCTCCTCACCCCCATCAACCCCGTATTCGTGAACGTATTCGACAGATTCGTATGGCCCTCTTCCTCCAACTCTTCCTCAAACACCACATCCTCTTCCTCCTCACTCATAATGGCTGATCTCACTTCCGACGTGCACGACGACAACCGTGCAAGCTTCTCCAAGCTACACGACCGAACCCTCGATGTATCTGCGCCAACCACTTCGGATGCTAGGTCTGGCGCTCTCCCTTCCTCAGCATCCACATATTCACCTCTTTCTCATCATCTTCCCAATCTCTCTCACCACACCACCCCCAACAATGTCAATTTTACCCCGAATAAAACCGCAGGAGGCGGCTTAAAGATCCTGCACCCCGCCCCTGTCACAAAATTCGACGTCTCCACATTCGAAGCGCAAATCAAGGAGCTTGAAAGCTATACGGATTCGTTGAGGATTGAGGATGCCTTTGCAGAGGGCCTTGGGTTGGGAATTGATAATGATAGGTGTTCTTCGGTTGTTGGCGGTGCGGGTGAGGGACAGTGAAATAGGATGAGAGTATAACACCTCCGAGTCCGAAGGCGTTGAAATTTAAGGAGCTGATTGTGGATAAGTTTAGGGCTTGAACACATCCTTCATCCCGAGTCTTCTGCAACCATAATGCTATTCGGTCCTACCCTTTACGATCAGGATCAGGATCCAACCCAAATATCGTCGTGCTTCCGCAAACCAAATACAGAAGAAAGAAGAAATAAATACATTACGTCCCATCCCCACCCTACATCCCTCGCATATCTTGTTTATCCTCCTGTTCTTTTCCTTGCCCTCTATGTTTATCGTTTTCACTGATTTGATTTTGCCCACCCTGCTCTCCTCGCACGCACTATCCATTTATTTTATTGGAGCTTTATTTTATTTATTGTCCTAGTTCTCTCTCTCTCTCTCTCTCTCTCTCTCTCGCTTTCCGTCGTCGTCGTCGCTTTCCGTCGTCGTCGTCGCTTTCCGTCGTCGTCGTCGCTTTCCATCGTCGTCGTCTTGTATCGTTGTTGCTTTTCGTTGTCTCGTACTACGTTTTGTCAATGTTTACTGTTCATTATTATTATCTTTCTTCGGGTTATCTACTTGTTTATCTATCTATTGTAAATCGTTTCAGATGCATCCGAGCTGTATATATATTCTTCTCAAATTCTAAGGCTATGATTTTTTATGTGGATGGTGAAGTGAGTACGTGCAGAATGTCAATGTGGAGTTACTTAAGACTTCGGGTGAGAGGGGTGATATTTAATTTTTGAGTTGAATAACCAGCTGGGCACACCACGTATTTGGTGCTATGAGAATTTGGGAATAAAGTCTTGAGATGAATGAGATGAATTCATGCTAAGAACAATATAGCATTTGATAGATCCATCTTGTTATTCCAGGATCCCTTACTTATGGCAGTGTCGGATTAGGATTGGTATATGCGACATCATCGAGAACTGGGTACCTCTCGGTAGCTACTAGGAATCTCCTAACCTAATTTAAATATTTAATCTAATGTATCCGCAACTCTCCAAAGAGAATTCAACATAAATTATAAAAAGAGAGATAAAATACATAGCAAAACGTTCAGGGAAATATTACTATTATTGTTCGTACCGGTTACCATTCATCGGAGGAAACTAGTCACGTTAAATTGGTCCAGCATTTCGACGGAGGTATCACCAATCATTGAATTAGTTTGACCCGTAAAATGCGACCGTGACTGACGAGCCTTAGAATCCTCCGATAAGGATATTGTCCATGAATTGCGACGAGGCAAGGGTGACAGAAAAAACAAGGATGAAGAAAAAGATGGCACGATTTCTAGATTAAAAGCGTCATGGTGACGTACATAAAACCATCAACTTTATCGCATTCACATCGAGATGCCATACTTGGGAGTGAGAGGGAACCCTGTCGAAACGGAGGGGAGTTAAGTGAGGCGCAGCTTCTCCGTTCCCAGTCCTTCGCCGAGCCAACGCCTTTAAATTACACAATCATTCACCGACCCAGGTCATCTCAGGATAGTAGACTAGTACTTGAACGTAGGATGCCATTCGGGTTGGCTTAGGGTTTTATACCCTGCAAGGCCAGCTTCTGTGGCTGTACGCATGTACACAGGCTATTCAGGCTTCCGATATATTTTCCGAGTAACCGATTCCTCAATCAGGGTAGGTAAGTACACTCAAAACATTTATGTCGGTATACATAGTACCTTGCAATTTCCTCCGATAACGTAAAAGAGGGAGGATTCGAAGGATATCGTAAGATGAGGGAAGATAAGAGGGATTTATGGTGCCATAGAAGAAAGTGCCAACTAAACAGTGCAATTGCAGCTTGTGCTGACAGAGAAAGGGGAGGGAAGACTGGGGAGGGAAGATATAAA